TGAAATGGGGTTAGCAGCCGCTGCCTGGCCCAGGGCAGCCTTGAACCTCTGCCGATCTCCCTGGGGAAATGCAGCCTCCGGGGCACCATGGGTCCCGAGCCTCCCTGCCCTGCTGAGGCCATATAACATGGCCTCTGTCTCACGCAGCCCTTCCCCATGTGTAGGGCTTGGGGAGCCAGGACAGGTTCACCCACCAGCCCCTGTCTCCGCTCCTGCCCCAGCATCCATGCTGTTGGGGTTCCCGGTGGTACCTCCTCCAACTTGGACCGGAGCCCAGCCCTTCCTGCCTCCTGTCCTGAGCCTGCGTGTGAGTCTCACAGCCTCTCTCTGGGTCCGGTGTGTGGCCCGCAGTCCTGCCTCTGCTGCCCAGCCTGCCACATCCTCTAAACTGTCAGTGTGTCCAGTAACCTGTCCCCTCGCTAAAGATTTGGTTGAATGAAAGAATGGATGGATGGATGGACAGGCAGACGGACAGATGGATGAATGGATGGATGGATGGGCGGATGGATGGACAGACAGATGGACGAACAGATGCACGGATGGATGGATGGATGGATGGACAGCCTGTTTGCCTCTGCAGTAGCTGGCAGGAAGCAAGTGCCTGGCAGAAACTGCTGCAAGCACGGGAGGGTGGCAGTGAGGGTGCAGGCTGAGAGCCAGCAGGGAGGAGGTGACTTCTGTCCCGGCCGGGCAGGGTGGGCAGCAGAGCTGGGCACCTGGGCGGGGCTGCGATGTGCTGGCTGTTTCTGGGAACCCTCCCTGGCTGCTGTCCTGGAGGATATGTCCCTGGTGCACAGCCAGCGGTGCCAGCAGCCCCACAGGTGGAGGGAGCTCCGGCCGGAGCAGGTGGCGGCTCCCCCTGCTCGTGTGTGGCTCACAAGTTGTCTGTACAGCTGGTCCCTGTGCCGTGCCTGACAGCACCAGGGAGAAGGCAGCAGGAGGCTGGTGGGCGTGGCTGGGAGGGGACCTGCTCCCACTTCCTCCGGGGATGTGCACTGCGCGGCGGGGTGGGGGGATGTGTGGCCCCCTGCGTGCTGGTCTGCGTGTCGCTCCTGTGCCTGCTTCCTAACCCTGTGCCCTGGCCTCGCCACTTGCCTCTCTGGGCCTCCGCCCCACCCTGCCTGTGACATCAGGCTCGGGACTGCAGCGTCTCATAGGGCAGCAAATCTCTGGCTTGTGGCACAGACCCAGAGCAGCCCATGTGCTCGCCTCCCCTCACCTGTAAAGTGGGAAGTGGGTGGCGCCAGCCTCACGGGTGCAGACCAAGGTGGTGCAGCGCACCCCACCGCCTGTGTGGTCTCTGTGGGCTCAGTGCAGAGCCCAGCTCGACTGAGACCTGGTTCCTCCCAGTACTGAGAAAGGAGTGAGGAAGGGAGAGGAAGAAAGAACACCAACAGTTTTTACGGCCAAACTCTTGGCTCAGCGTCTGTGTTTAAAAATAGACGGTTTTGGTTTGTTGCTGAATTTTAACTGTTCATTAATAGATGCTTGTTGCTCTCATGTGCTGCGTGCCACGCACTGTTTTTAGATGCTGGGGACGAGGCAGTGACCAGATCGGACTCAAATCTGTGCCAGAGAGCGCAGGGCCAGAGCGCTCGGGGAGGGGCCAGCCTTACCCGGTAGACAAACGTTAACAGCCACAAGCTACCTTTCCCCTCCCGGCTTCAGGGGCCGCAGCGTTCTGGAATGCCTGCTTCTCACTCTCCTGGCCACAGCCGGCTCTGTGAATCATTTATGTCTTGTTTTGTTTTGTTTTTGGTACCGGGGATTGAACTCGGGTCTTTGCGCTCCCCAGGCAGGCAGCAGAACCACTCAGCCAAATCCCCAGCCCCTCTGTGAATCATTTATGAACCTCGCCTATTTTTCTTAAAAGAACATTTGTTTTACTGATTTGTAAGGTTTATTTATCTATTAAGGCCGTGACCCTCTGTAATGTAGACTGATATCTTTGTTAGTCTTTTGCTTTCTTTCCTGTCTTCCTTCTCTTCTTTCTGGGGTGCTGAGGATAAAACCCAGGCCTTGTGCACGGTAGGTGAGGCTCTACCACTGAGCTACACCCACACCTCCTGCTGCTTTCGCTTTTTCTTTTGATCTAGGAAAGTTGAAAACACTTTTGCAGTCAAATCTTTTCTAAATCTGCCATCCACATCCTGAAACCGAGTAAGGACTCACACGGCCCACCGCACTGCCCTGAGGGAGACGGCAGTGAGCCCCGGAGCGCGTGAGCGTGGTGCGCGCTGCCCGGGACCAAGAAG